GAAAACTCCATAAAGAATGTGTTTGGGTGCCTCACGAGCTCTCTGATGATCATCGTTTCCAACGTGTGAACGTAGCTTCGTCTCTTCTGGCGCGTAATGCGCGTGAACCTTTTTTGGACAGAATTGTCACCGGTGATGAAAAATGGATTCTCTATGCGAATATTAAACGCCAAAAACGATGACTCAGTCCTCAACAAAAACCACTTCCGACCCCAAAACCTGGACTCCATCAGCAGAAAGTGATGCTTTGCATTTGGTGAGACGTCAAAGGAGTAATTCATTTCGAACTCCTCAATCCACGGCGAACTGTGAATGCAGAGATCTACGGTTAGCAACTGGAACGTTTAAATGAAGCCCTTCATCAGAAACGCCCTTCACTCGTCAATAGGATAGGTGTTCTTCTTCCCTACGACAATGCACGTCCACATGTGGCACGTTTGACGCAACACAAGATTATGGAATTGGGTGGGGAAGTTCTCCTCCACTCACCATATTCTCCAGATATGGCACCATCAGATTACCATCTTTTTCGTTCGCTGCAACACCATCTTAATGGGAAAACGTATGCAACTGTGTTGGGTGTTAAAGAGGACATCGACATGTTTTTTGCTTAAAAGCCAAGTGATTTCTATAATCAGGGCATTAACAACCTGATTGTAAGATGGAAAAGCATCATTGATGTCATACTTTGTTGTAGCCTACACAGTGCACAATTCTTCACGTGATTCATGGCATGCGCACATCATAACAGTACAAATTGCAACGTCATTTTAGTGTCTACTGAGTGACTGACAGACAACAAATTACTGTATAGTGGTTAAAACAGGTGACCCCTTTCTTTTTTATAGAATTATACTTATACATATATATCTATCTATATATATATATACATGTATTAGCTAAACATAAACTACCTTAATGCTAATAACTCCTCTCTCCTCCAAATGGTATCCTCCAATTTTTTCTAGTATTTTCCTGGTTTCAGAACTACAATGAATCTTGAGAGCTGTGTAGAACAAAAAGAGTCATCACAAAAAACAAAAAAAAAAACAATAAGAACAACAAAAATATCCTTCGTAACATTGTTATAATATTTTTACTACACAATACTGGGCTTCAAGAATGTAAATATTTTGATTCAACTCATTTGTATTGTATATTGATACAAATCGATGTGTTTTTTTGTAGGTGGCGTAGTAGTTACTGTAATTTTTTTCTATAAACAGTCCTACACTTTATGACAGGGGTGTAGTTAGATTTGACTGTCGAAAAAGTAATTAATTCACATATCATTGCTGATCAATGCGATTACTCAATTAGTGAAAATTGCGTTGGTTTCTTATTAAGCACAAAGCTACACATCGGGTTATATGTGCTCTGCCCATCACGGGCAATGATTATCATCATCATAAGCCCTCAGACTTTCCGCTGAGCCACTGCTAAGTGTGAAAATGGTAGTCAAATAAAAGGGAAAATAACAACAACAAAAATAAACGTGCACTATGAGACTTTAATACGCGGATACACATACACACAATTATATCATATATATCAGACAGATTTTCAAATGTTGAGACAAAGTAGTTTTAATACTTTCCACCAGGGGACTTCTTGCGCAAAGGAAACTCTAGCATCTACTAGTTTCGAGTAACTCAAGCGATATCATATAGGTAAACAAACCTAAACGTTTACTAGTTTCGAGTAACTCAAGCGATATCATATAGGTAAGT